TTTCCATGGATGGAGTACACAGCGAGTGGGGCCGCGGGGGGGGCGATCCGGGGTGGGGGCGCCCCTGCACCGGCGCAACTTCTTTCTCCCCCGACAGACTGACAAATACATGTAGTCCTGACTAACTTGTGGGCTGCACTTACCCGACCGTACAGCTATGACTATCCCCCCTCCCTTCCCCGTCCCGATATCCCGACGGATGATGACCTGGGGGGACTGCATGGGTATAGGCTTATAAACTCTTCGAGCCCCTAACCAAGCATGCAGATCAATTTGGGGAACCGGGGGGAGACACAAGGCTAGGGCGGGCTGTAGGCCGTGTAGGCACAAGATGGAGAGGGGTTACGGGGTTCTTGATCTTTGTCGGGGTAGGTGGGAGGTGCACATTAAGGAGGGGATTTAGCCTGAGGGCAGGAGGTCGACTACGCCTCCCTGGGGCCAGGGAGGTGGTCTTCCTACACTCTCTGTCAAGCGCTGTTGGTTTGAACGGAGCCAAATGGATTACCCAGGCAATAGCCGCCCGGTTTGTTCTATAGGGGCTTCCAGCAAAACTGGTGGGGGATGGGAGGGGGGGCAGGTAGGCCAGAGGCCACCCTGACGTTAACATATATCTCATGCAAACTACTACACCTGGCTGGAGGTTGAGGGGGGCTAACGGAGATTGGGGTCACGGGCAGGCGCACCAATTGGCCCTCAGGGACAGAGCGGTAGACAAACAGGATGGATACGATTCACAGTTTAACGATGTATACGGGATAAATGCGCCTACCACGTCCCTCTCTGCGCATGTCCCACTTGATTCCCGGAGGGGTATTAGGAGGGGGCCATTTTTGTTGCCATGGAGGGTACTTGCGGTTACGGTTTTGGTTATATTTCTATGTTTAGACACTCTCAACTCGCTGTATTTTTTGACAACAATGATTCTCTCTGTCCTATGTTATTGGCCTTTTTCTAAGGTTGTAATTGTATTATCTTTCCGCAATGAAAAAATGGATAAAATAATAAATAAAGAATGTAAAAAAAAAATAAAAAATTAACGTTTAATCATTTGAAAAGCTTACCCCCAAAAATTAAATCAAGACCTTGATCTGTGAACCAAATGATAATAAAATGCTCCTATCAGTGTACTGCAAAAAATATACCTAGAATTATAATATGCATGTATTTTGCAGGACACTGATTGGCCCAAAAAGTGCAGATTTCAATGGCACTTTTATAATTTCTGAGAATATATTTCACAAAATATCTGACAAAATAAACCTGGTTACACCCCCTGGCTGTCAATCAGACAACCTGTTCTGTTTCTTTGTGGTTTGTTTAGCTCAATTGCTCAGAGCCTTTGCTTTGCAAAAACCATCTCATTGAGCTGCATTAAGAAGTCTCTGATTGGACAGCCACAGAAAGTCTTGGCGGGTTTAGAAGGGGAGGACTACAAAGGCTGCAATTAAGAGAACTGCAACTTTTGCAAGTTTTTTTATTTATACTTCAATGGATAAAAAAACAAAAAACATGTATGTTTTCACTTGGGGTATATTTACTTAACAATTATTTTTTTTTGGGTGGGGGGGAGGAAAAGGAGTGTCCCTTTAAGGAGGGATTGACTATTTTCTTGATATTTATATCAAAGTATATTTATAAGTATAAGTATAAGTATTTATAAGTATGATATGAAATGTCATAAGTCAAGTGCCACTAAAAGTAAAAGAGCAGGAAAAACGAAAGAACGCTGGAGCCAATAATTGCAATATCCCCGGTAGCTGGGGGATAACCCTTATAATTTCAACAACACACAAAGAAAGAGTTGGAGGATGCCATCGCATAACATATGGGAATAATAGAATACTAGTATAGGTGAAATCACAGAAAATCGTAAAAATTTTACTTTTACTAAGTTATAGATAAAAAGGTCCATAAATAGTGGACTAGTGATGTATCATAAACTGAACACAAAAAGAAAATACTATTTCAAAACGAAAAACAATAATACAATTATAACAAAGCGGTCATTAGGAGAATTGATGGCATGGTGGTAGTGTGACAGCTATATTCACCCACTCGATCAGAATATATTGGGGCTGACTCTCTAATGGCACACTTGTTCTGATAAAGATATCAAGATAGTTATGTATGTTCACTATATTTTGGAACTCTTACCCTTTTCGTTTATCTTGATGCAGTATGGTACATAAAAAAGAAGCAAAAAAAGAACATATACAGATAATAGTGTAATATGTCTTTAAATGGAGCGGTTGATGAAATAGGTGAATATATACACTCACATTTATTAGAGCCTTTTCTAGTGTTAGGCTCTAAACTTCTGCACGTCTGTGTCTTTTCGGGTAGACCACACGACCCGAACGATCGGCGAAACGCGTTTTAGCTTTTAAAGTGAACCCATATATACTTTTTTAGGTCACATATTTAATTGTACTGTTATTTTACTGTTTTTTATTTTCTAGTTATTTACAGTGTAATTTTATAATTTTATCTATAAATAAATTTGTTCCCATTTCTTCAATATATCCATTGTATCCTGTATAACTGATTCAAAGGGAGGGGCAGTGTCACCCCAAAATTTGACACTGGGCAAATATACTTAGAGCCGGTTACCAAGGGCTCTAAATAAGGTGAGCATTTCCATTTTTTCTTATATGGACATCACTTTCTTTCCTGAGATGCTACACTTAGTATGAAATATCTGTGTCTTTTATATATTCGGTGGAGAACATATCTTCCTTGTGAGAGAGGGGTCGTGTGGTCTACCCGAAAAGACACAGACGTGCAGAAGTTTAGAGCCTAACACTAGAAAAGGCTCTAATAAATGTGAGTGTATATATTCACCTATTTCATCAACCGCTCCATTTAAAGACATATTACACTATTATCTGTATATGTTCTTTTTTTGCTTCTTTTTTATGTACCATACTGCATCAAGATAAACGAAAAGGGTAAGAGTTCCAAAATATAGTGAACATACTTACCTAAGCACTTATATAGCGCTGCACTCACTTTAAGGACTTTAGATTTGGATGGTGGTAACATCACCCAAATCAAAAAGTTTCTTTGTGTTTTGGTGATTGTTTATGTGTGGTGGGTAATTAGGAGTACCCACAGAGTGTATACAGCAGCTGTACCAGATTTCTTTCTATTTATTACACAGAGCGCCATTTATTCCACATTTTTGTGTATATTCAATCAAGATAGTTATGTCTGAAACATCAGACGTTACTGATTAGTATAAGTATAAAGGCTTGATAAGATAATCACACAACACTAGCATGAAGATATCAAGGTTTCTGAGACTTCTAACCAGTTTACCTGCATTATTTGTTATAAGTGCAGAAATGGTAAACTACTTAGCTACAATTATGAGTGTATACATAATGTTGCAACAATTGTAAAAAAGCTTGGTAATTGATACAATCCCAATGGGGGATTGAGGAATAAATAGATATAACCTGGACCAGAAAGGGAATCTTAATGGCATAGTTTTCTCTACTGTGACTTCGTGGGCACCCCTTAATCCCTAAAATAGCTCACCCTGTCCTGATAGGGGGATTTATAAACATTCCCCCAACCTCAGTACTGTATCACTATAAAATACTGCTAACAGTCAGCCATGCGATAACTTAGTGGTTATTGCAATCAGAAAGATAGGAAAAGGATTTTATACTAGTATAATTGCAAAATTATCTCTGTAGCAAGTAGTGCTTCATTGGTTCAAATGCTAGTGAAAGCAGGAGCCCCTGACGCGCGTTTCGCTTGTTTAGCTCATCATAGAGCAACTGGACACAGGACAGGGCCGGATTAACATAGGGGCTGATGGAGCTGCAGCTCCAGGCCCAGGCCCAGGCCCATGGAATAGGCCCATTTAAAAAAAAAAAAATTTTTTTTTTTTTTTTTTTTAACACACTACTCTTAGGTTTGCCATCTGATTGGTATTTTACTGGCACAGCTGGTATTTGAGGCTGCCTGGCCGTGCCAGTATTGCAGTAATACTGGTAGCCTTCTATCAGTTTAGAAGTACTGTCAGATTGTTATAGCCTATGTTACTGGGAATTAGTTGTTTTGTGTTGTGACATGCTGTTAAGTATCTCCGTTGGCTTCTTCATTAGTAGTAGTCTCTGAAGGTAAAGTAAAATTGTTTACTATTGTTGGTGCATTCACTAAAAGCTTTTAGACATGTGGGATACTAGGTGCCAATGTTAGGGTTCAAATTAGGGTTAGGATTAGGGACTTGTTCCTATTTAGTGATATTTCACATTAGGGGAATATCACTAAATAGTGCTTTCTCACACTTTATTTTAACCCTTACCCCAAGGGTTAGGGTAAGAATAGAGTGTGAGAGAGGTTAGAAGCACTTACCTAACCCTAATTTGTACCCTCACTTAACCCTAAATGTCCCGTGTGCCTAAGCTTAGTGAATGCACTAACTATAATGAAAGTGTAAGACTAGTTTTACTTACCTTCCAGGACCTTGCTGTGGAGGAGTAGCAGGAGTGCTAGCACGCATGTGCAGCACAGGAGACAGCTGATTCCCCTCCCCGGAAGTGACGTGGGTATAGCAATCTGACGGAGTATACCAAACTGATAGAACACCGGCAATACAAATGCAGGTAATTTTCTCAGAATAAATGGAGATTACCCTGCAATACCAGCACTGGCCAGTAGGGGTCACTGTGTGTGGAGAGAGGCAGGGATAGGAAGTTACAGAATATCCCTGCCTCTCTCTACTACTCACTGATCCGTGGGGGGAGCAGCTACACAGCACAGAGTCCAGACAGCAGCTCTACAGCTCAGGTAAGTGAGGGATGGGGGGAAAGGCAGCAGGGAGACATGGGGACACTGAGACAATAGGGGACATATAGGGACACTAGGGGACACATGGGGACACAGACACTAGGGGACACTGAGACACTAAGACACAGACACTGGGAGACCTGGGAACACAGACACTTGGGGACACTGGAAAACATGGGGAAACTAGGGGACACTGAGACTCTAGGACACATGGGGACACAGACACTGGGAGACCTGGGGACACTGGAAAACATGGGGACACTGAGACACTATGGGACACATGGTGATGCTGTGAGACATAGGGACATTGGGAGACATTGGGACACAGAGACACTATGTTCCCATGTCCCCCAGCCAGTGTCCCTAGTGTCTCAGTGTCCCCAAGTCTCCCAGTGTCTGTGTCCCATGTCTCTCAGTGTGCCTAGTGTCCCCTTGTGTCCCAGTGTCCCTATATGTCCCAGTGTCCCCATGTCTATGTCCACAACTGTCTCTACGTGTCCCCAAATGTCTGTCTCCCAGCCAGTGTCCCCTAGTCTCCCAGTATCCCCTAGACTCTCAGTGCCTGTGTCCTTAGTGTCTTAGTGTCCCCAAATGTTTCAGTGTCCCCATGTCTCCCAGTGTCTGTGTTCCTAGTGTCTCAGTGTGCCTGATGTCCCCATGTCTCCCAGTGTCCCTAAATGTCCCAGTGTCCCCATGTCTATGTCCACAACTGTCCCCATGTCTCCCAGTGTCCCCAAGTGTCTGTCTCCCAGTGTCCCCTAGTCTCTGTGTCCCCTAGTCTCCCAGTGTCTGTGTTCTCATGTCTCTGTGTCCCCATTTCTCCCAGTTTCCCTAGAGTGTCTTAGTGTCCCCAAATGTTTCAGTGTCCCCATGTCTCCCAGTGTCTGTGTCCCCATTTCTCCCAGTTTCCCTAAATGTCTATGTGTCCCCATGTCTCTGTGTCCCCGGGTCTCTCAGTGTCCCCATGTCTCTCAGTGTACCCAGTATCCTAGTGACATGGGGACACACTGAGACATTGGGACACTGGGAGAAATGGGGACACAGACACTGGGAGACTAGGGGACATTGGGACACTGACACTGTGATAAATAGGGACACTGAGACACTGGGTGACTTGCGAGACTGAGACACTGGGAGACAGGGAGACACTGGGAGCAATCCATCTATACATCAGAATCAAACTGTGAGTAGTTTGTTGGTGATTTTACAGAATTTTCTCTGCTGTCACTCCTTGTGATTTACATCATGTGATGTCACGCATAACTAATTAATTATACAAATGATTAAGGCTGGTATTTGTTTCCAAGAAAGGTGGCAACCTTAACTACTCTTCACATATTCTTGCTTAAAGGAGCACTATAGGGTCAGTAACACAATCATGTATTTCTGACCCTATTATGTTAAAACCACCACCCTGGCCCCTTCTTGCCTCCCTAAATATAGTAAAATATTACTTGTATTCAAGTCTGCAGCTGCTGGCTCAGAAGTGGTGGTCTGAGCAAATAACAATACTTCCCCATAGGATTGGCTGAGACTGTCAACTAGGCAGATCAGGGGCAGAGCCAGCACAAGTCCAACATAGCCCTGGCCAATCAGCATCTCCTCATAAAGATAAATTGAATCAATGCATCTCTATGAGGAAAGTTCAGTGTCTGCATGCAGAGGGTGGAGACACTGAATGGCAGTGCTGCAGACTAGGCAGTACTGCCCCATGAAGCACCTCTAGCAGCCATCTAAGGAGCGGCCAGTGGAGTTATTTTCTCTGAAAAGACAGTGTTTACTGCAAAAAGCCTGAATGGAATGCTTCTACTTACCAGAACAAATACAATAAGCTGTAGTTGTTCTGGTGACTATAGTGTCCCTTTAAGTTTGAAAGCTTAAGAGGGATGTATGGGAACAAAACTTGTGTGGCTGGCTGACATTAAAATTAGTTTAGGTAATGCAGACGTTGGTCTCTGTGGCATATCCCCTTTCTTCTACACTCACTACATACACCTTTTCTCGCTCTCAGACTATATACCAGGAACTTCTGCCTGCTAGTAAGAAGGTAAGGAGACAAGTGGACCAGCGAGTGCTAGGGGAAAGTCCTTGGAAAGCATGGAGTGAGCGCATTATTAGACGCATTTATGTCAAGCTCAAGGTGCTGCCTGCATAGTATGCCCTTAGTTGGACAGCCTGCAGGATTGGCAGGCAGCCTGACATTCATTCATGCCAGGCTGACCTTCCAATTCTTTGGACAAACATGCCCCCTTTCTGGCAGGTCTTGTCACGTGATTCGCGCCAGTGGCACATCCTTTTACCCCGCCCATTGACTTCCTGCTTCACTGGACACTGCTGTTAGGGGTTATGGATTTACTTGAAAGATGAAAGCATAAATTAGAGAGAAATTAGCATATAGTATGTGTTTTCTTATAGCTGCATTCTATGAGTTTCCCTCCAGCACCATCTCCATCAGATACATGACGTTTGGGAGGTATGACTGTTTTAGTGTTTTTGGTCGATAAGATTCCATAATTAGGCCCATCATTATTGTCAGCACCAGGCCCACTGTGCTCTTAATCCGGCCCTGACACAGGATAATGCCGGTATAAAAAGGAGAATTGCCTAGATCTGATTGGATCGCTGATATTTGAATGCATCAGTTGACAGTATACCGATTTGTATAATTATCAGTAATGAATGGGGAGGAGGAGATAATAAAAACACGGAGGGGGAAACCAAACAAATTAAAAAATTAAAGAAGGATTGGAGATGGATTATTTGAAAGTATATTACAATAAAATAAAATATATAAGTATTGTGAACTAACTACAGTAATAAGTGAAATATAAATAGGTTAAAGTTAAAAAGGGATATTTAATTCATATATACCAACTTATGATCATATCAGTACTTACAAGTAAGGCTTATATCTATGGTCAGTGAATATTGTGAAAATATATAAGATGTGGCCGTATTTTAACTTGTGATAGTGGAGTGTGATATTCTTTAGCGTGATCTGAATAGTAAACGACAAACTCAGTATCATGCAAACTGTTACATAGAATTTAACTTAGCTAAGATTGTCAAAATGTACAAATACCACAAGGAGAGAAAAAGACAATCATAATCACCGTAGGTGATTTATCCGATCGTTGTCTAAAATAGCAAGTTGGATAACAACTTGATAGTTAAAGGGACACTATAGTCACCTGAACAACTTTAGCTTAATGAAGCAGTTTTGGTGTATAGAACATGCCCCTGCAGCCTCACTGCTCAATCCTCTGCCATTTAGGAGTTAAATCCCTTTGTTTATGAACCCTAGTCACACCTCCCTGCATGTGACTTGCACAGCCTTCCATAAACACTTCCTGTAAAGAGAGCCCTATTTAGGCTTTCTTTATTGCAAGTTCTGTTTAATTAAGATTTTCTTATCCCCTGCTATGTTAATAGCTTGCTAGACCCTGCAAGAGCCTCCTGTATGTGATTAAAGTTCAATTTAGAGATTGAGATTCAATTATTTAAGGTAAATTACATCTGTTTGAAAGTGAAACCAGTTTTTTTTTCATGCAGGCTCTGTCAATCATAGCCAGGGGATGTGTGGCTAGGGCTGCATAAACAGAAACAAAGTGATTTAACTCCTAAATGACAGTGAATTGAGCAGTGAAATTGCAGGGGAATGATCTATACACTAAAACTGCTTTATTTAGCTAAAGTAATTTAGGTGACTATAGTGTTCCTTTAAGTGTCTGTTGTGATTGTGGCAAGAGTTCAAAAAAACAGTTTTGGAGATACAGTGTGTTTACTAGCTTGACAATACAGATCCTATTTCGCTGATTTATTAGATTGTGTCACATGGTAACTTAGTTAAATATAATAACAGATGTTAACTGTACAGTGGCCTGAAGGTATAAGCCTATAGTCACTTATATCAGACATAAGGTGACTTCTATATAGTCCATATTATGCTTTCGATTAAATTTAATTTGGCTAAGATTGACATAATATAACAAATACCACAGGGAGAGAAAAAGACAATCATAATCTCCCTAAGTGATTTGTCTGATCGTGGTCAGAATAGTGAGTCGGAATATGCTAGTTACAAATGTTAGCTGTTATTTAGCCTAAAGGTATAAGCATTTGGTCACTTATAGCAGACATATGTGACTACTACCGTATATACTCGTGTATAAGTCGAGTGCAGTTTTGTGACCAACAATTGTGAAATATGCTATGCCTTATGGATAAGTCGAGGGTAAAGCTTGGGGCTATGAAATTCTGTGATTTTTATAATTATATACACACACACTCATACAAACACACACTCTGTGTGTATATAATGCAGAGTGTGTGTGTTTGGGTGAATGCAGTGTGTGTGTGTGTAGTGTGTGTAGTGTGTGTGAACTGGGTGGGGGGAGGGCATTTTTATTATTTTTTATTTTTTTTATTTTAATATTATTATTTTTTATTATTATTTTATTATTTAATATTTTTGTTTGTTCCCCCCCCCTGCTTGTTAACTGGTCTGGGAGGGGGGCTATCTTAATCCCTGGTGGTCCAATGGCATGGGCTGTGCAGGGAGGGGGCAGTGGGCTGTTACTTACCTTTCCTGCAGCTCCTGTCAGCTACATGCAGCTGCGCTGTCAGCTCCCAGTGTAAATCTTGCGGTCTGCGTGCCGCGTGGAGCGTTTCCACTGTAACCCATGGCAACGCTCTGACAGCCGCGGGTCTCGCGAGACTTACACTGGGAGCTGACAGGGGAGCTGCACGGAGCTGACAGGAGCTGCAGGAAAGGTAAGTAAACCCCCAACAGGACCGCTGGGCTTGTAATGAGCCCGGCAGTCCTGGTCTGTATTATGGCAATGTAAGTTGCCATAATACAGACATTGACTCGAGTATAAGTCGAGTGGGGCTTTTTCAGCACAAAATATGTGCTGAAAAACTCGACTTATACTTGAGTATATACGGTATGTTGTCCATACTCATGCTTTCAAGGAAGTGCACCTGAATTAGTGAGAGTTAATTTTGGGGTCGTTATCATGTTGGAATACTGCCCTGTGGCCCAGTCTCAGAAGGGAGGGGATCATGCTCTGCTTCAGTATGTCACAGTACATGATGGCATTCATGGTTCCCTCAATGAACTGTAGCTCCCCAGTGCCAGCAACACTTATACAGGCCCAGACCATGACACTCCCACCACCATGCTTGACTGTAGGCAAGACACACTTGTCTTTGTACTCCTCACCTGGTTGCCTCGGCACACGCTTGACACCATCAGAACCAAATAAGTTTATTTTGGTCTCATCAGACCACAGGACATGGTTCCAGTCATCCATGTCCTTAGTCTGCTTGTTTTCAGCAAACTGTTTGCGGGCTTTCCTGTGCATCATCTTTAGAAGAGGCTTCCTTCTTCGGAGACAGCCATGCAGACCAATATTA